AAAGAAACCCCACAGAGGTGCCCAAATAGCCTTGCCACGCCGCAAGTGGATAGACTTGCCACAGGGACGCACAGGCCGCAAGTGGAAGTTTTGCCGCAGGGGCCCTGCCCAACCAAACGGTACTGTTTGAAACCTTATACCCCGGAAGCAGTGCCAATTGAAACCCTATACCCCGGAAACAACTCTGAAAAAAAGAACTTCCCAACCCAACGGTACTATTTGAAACCCTGTACCCCGGAAACAGATCCAAAAAAAACCCTACCGGGTACAAAAAAAAACCAGTCCCAGCGGATTCTGTCGTGTCGTCACGATCCGCGACCGGGGGAAGAAGGAACACATGGAAGTCGCAAGTATCATGCGCCTTCAGCATATGACAGAAAATGGAACATCAGGCCCTTGGTGTGTTCCGAAATCAGTTCCAATCCTGCATAGCGCAGCAAGGTGTTGTTTACGAGTTGTATTTTTAAGTCGTTTGCTCACATAGACATCTCCGGTGGAAACCAAACATAGGGAAGGGATGGGAGGGGCGCAGGGATTGAGCCATATTATGACACTGAGAACAGCGTCAATGGCGTTGAAACTGCCACTCGAGTTGAAATGAAAGCAAGACGGCAGCAAAGCAAAAGGTGTTGAGCAAATTGCCCACCAACTGGTCAACTGGCCTCATTTGGCCATTGGCAGCCCTACTCACATCTTCGCTGTACTTTTCTCAGCTCGAGGGAGCTGCCCTCTTATGTTGAAGAAAAAAGGCCCCGCGGAGGGCGCCTGAAGGAAGAGCTTCCGCGTTCTCCCTCGGAGCACACCTTGTCGATCTCGTCCACATAGACGATCCCCACCTGCGCGGGCTGGAGGCGCTGCGCTCGGGCGGGGCATGGTGTTTCGCGCCTTTGGCCAAGGATGAGTCTACCAGACTGCTTCCCTGTGAAACTGGAATCAATTGGTGTCTGCTTTATCTTTGGCGAAGCAAAACCCGCTATGTAAGCGGATTGGTCTGGCAGAAAAAATGCCTCTCGCATCTGACATCCTGCTTCTACAATGTATTGAGTATAAAAGGTAATGGACTCCTATGGACCCACTCATACAATAGATCAACAAATGACATGGTTCAACAAACATGGATGTTAGCAAGCACACATGGATGTTAGCAAGCACACATCGATGTTAGCAAACAAACATGCTGATCAACCGGTTTGCTTCTTGTGCTGATCGCCCGGAATCTGCTGATCGCCCGGAATCTGCCGTTGAAGCTCCTCAACGAACGTTCCAACAGGGGCTGAAGCAATTCTGCTAGTGGCCCTAGCTCCATGATGTCCGGGGTCTACTGGATGGGTTCACAACCGGTCGGCGCTTGAATTGTTGGCGCCCCGTCATATTCAGCGCCCAGCCAGCGATCACTCCTCCGGATGTGGCGGCCTGTGCGAGCTCCACGTCGCCATCTGCGGCTTGAAGCAATTCACCCATGACCTGCGCCGTGAGCCGCGCTGCGGAAGGTTCCACCGAGCGGAGGGTAGAGCCTCTTCGCAACCGAGCTTTGGTGAATGAATGTGAATGAATGTGTGAATAAGTTAATTTACTTTATCGAAAGAATCGTGGTAAATGGTACATGCATGATTTATGATCACTATAAATGATATCAAGTGTGTTTGTTGGGGAGTGGATACTAGTTGTGAAGCTTTTGGAGTCGCACCCTACCCAAGAAGCAATGGACTAAGAAATTTGATGGGATTTGGCGAGAAGGACAACAGGTCTCCATTGGAAATGTGTTGATGCTTTTCTGCCTAAGGGCGGTTCTTTTACAAGCTCTTACTGGTGGATTTTATTGGCTTGAGCACCCCCAGAATCCACACAAAAGTGGGACGTCATTGCAGGGCACCCTCCATTTGGATGACTCAAGTGGTTCGCTGGTTCCGTGAGACTGGTTTGGTTGTGTTCCTGCGTGTTACAAGGTTTCTTTGGGGCAGACAGCCCCAAACCAACCACTTTGATGTTGTCTGGAGCTGAGAGCTCGCCAAAGCTGTGCAATGCGAACAGAGCATGCGCAGACCTCAATGTGCACGAGGGTCCAACATAGGCCTGAAAGATGGCCAATGGCGCACTAGTCACCTTAAGGGTACCCACCTGAATTTTGCTCCTTTGGTGCTGCCCTCTTTCGGCTTTGGTTGGATGCACAACCACCTAGGACCGAAGTGTTCCTGGAGTCCACGAAGTGGCTCCGCGATCTTGTACTGGCGTTTGAAGACCAGGGATTGCAGGAAACCGGTCCCGACTTCTTTACACGTAATTCATGAATTCAGCACAGCCAGACGCTGAGCTTGTCGCCGAGCACTATGCGTCAAATGAAATGAACAAATGAAAAAAACATCACATTTTGAAGAGTAGGGGGTGCAATTATTTCTGGTGCAATATGATGAAGCAACGGAAGACCGGAGAAGGAAGTCGTCCTTCGTCTCGCCTCGTCCGCATCGCGGCCCACATAGCCGGTCTCGGTGAATTTGGTCGCCTGGTTGGCCGAGACCAGGTGAGCAAGGTGGCACGCGGAGAACGACTGTGGTCGGTCCATGTTGTTTGGCTTTTAGCATTGATTTACCCTCATCCTGGGGCTAAGGGGCTGACTCTTTTTGGAGTGATTCACAGTGATTCTCTGGATTTGGGTGGAAATCCATGACACGAATTTGATGAGAGATTCCAAGAAGGGTTGGTTCACAACTCACTGCTGGCGTCGAACATCTTCAAGGATTCTGGGACTGTCTCCGATCCAGTTCATGAAGACTCTCCAAATTAGATTTGGAATGATTTGAAGCACCGGGCTTATTCTGCCCAAACGCGACCCGGGACCCTCATATGGAGGGGTCTTTCACGTTTCTCACCAATTCTGATCATTTCAGGGCTGTGAGTTTGGAGCGTCTTTCTCTGGGTGGTTTCCGGGGAGGCCCATTCAACCATATTCAACCACTCCAAACACATCCGCAGCCGCATCTCGCCGCGGTCGAGACGACGCGAGAACGGGGCTCCCGGGCATCGGCTTTGACGAAGGGGACGCCGATCAAATCCTTGGTGTAGACTCTCGATCTGGAGGTGAAACCTCTTAATTAATATATACACTAATTAGATGTATATATATAATTACAGTAGATTTTAAATGGATTGCAAAACTTCTTCAATATCGTTCATATAGGGGTTTACTAAATCAAGAGTCTACACTACTGAGACGTTTCGTTGATCTCTCCACGTCGATTTCGATTTCAGAAATGGGGCGACCGGTTGCGGTCGCGGTCGGTCCGCACCCATCAGAACATGTGGTCCTTAGGACATCTTAGGACGTCCACTAGCCAAGTGTGCGCCGCAAAAGGCAGCGAAAACAATCCAAAAGCACCGCTTTGGATGCCGACACCTTCGTTTGGAGCGACCGGGTCGGAGGCCAAGGTCTGGAAAAAAAGAGACACATCACCACACCCTCCAGTGCCAGTACCCTCCTGGCGAAGTCACCAATTGAGACCTTAGGACCTAATACCTAATGAAAGAAATCCGATCACATCGGTGGACAACTGACTCAGTTTCCCTTTTTGGAAGCAGAATAACCTCTACAAGTAACGGGGGTGCAGTGTACACACGCAGTCAGCATAGGCCCTGTGCAAACAGAACAAATACACACCAAAAACTCCACTCGGAACGATTAAAAGTTGAGTCTCGGCCAAATTCCTGAGCAGGTAGGTTTTGCCACTTCCAGTTGGTCCAAGCAAAAGAATGTTGGGCTTTGTGAAATTCTTCACCTGAGCGAAAGGTTTGCGGTGTCACTGCTCAAGACTGAACGGATCAAAGGAGATGCCACCCAGGATTCAGATGGCAAAGATGCATTCTTGGTTTTTGCACATCCATGCAGGCTGGATTTACATGCAAAACATTTAGATCCAGTGTGTGACAAGTTCTGCCACAAGCGTGCAAACAACAACCCTGCGCTTCCTGACATCTACCAATCCCCCGCTATGGAAGTAAGCCTTCGTCGGCGACAATGGGATTCCCACGGTTCGGCCAAACAAGATGTAACAAGCAAACTGGTTCATGGACACCCCTTAATGTAAAAAGCCAACAGGCCAGTTCAAAGTTTCCTCTCTTGCATGCA